AAACATATCACACAACATGAATCAAACATGCACTTTATTCATTTACACTAAATGTCTAAAGTACATCAAAACTGATTGGAGCTAAGGGCATACAAAACTGTTTAACAATTTTCTCGAATTATTACTTGATATAAGTGAAATTAATTGTTTACAATATTATGTAAAAATATTAAATTATTAATAATTTTAATATTATGTTATAGTTATTTTTCTACTTTTTAGATTTTTTTAAATTTATTACATAATTTCTTTATTTTAACTACTTAAAATCTAGTTATGTTAAATATTTTATTATTTAAATTATTTAGTTATTTAAATACTTAAGTAATATGTAAAATATTTAAATTTTAAAATATTGATTATTTATTGAATTTATATGTTATATTTTAAATCTAATTTTTAATATAGAAAAGTGGGAATTTTCCCATATTTCTTAGTCTATAATGTTTTATATCATAAATATAATTTTTAAACTTACTTTTTTAATAATTGTACTATAAGTTTTAAAATTAAATTAAATTTTTAAGTTTAAATCTTTTGAACAAATTGACCAAACCAAAAAATTGACTTAAACTGATACAACTTGAGTGGGTCGATTTTCACAAAAGGTTAGTTGGTTTCAATTGACCAACTCCCTAACCTGATCTGGTCAATTTAGTTGGTCAAATAGCCTATGACTGAACCGAATCAACTCATGAATACTCATAACTTCAGCTAAATTAATAGTCTTATCTCTAATAAATAACAATAGTTTAATCTCTAATAATTATTGAAAATTTATAGTAAAAATACACAATTATTGAAAATATATTGATAATGAAAAATACAATAATTGTAGAAATTACAAAAATACAATAAGTACTAAAAATATATCAACCTAGTCAATAAATAGTTGAATCTCAAATAATAGTTTAATCTCTAATAAATAATAATCAATAACTTATAACAAAAATACAATAAGTACAATAAGTACAATAAATTATATTTTAAATTTTCAATAATAGTAATTTAATCTCCAATAACTATTGCATTTTTTCTATTAAATAACAAAACAAAATAAATTTATACATAATCATTGAAAATACATTTATCACAAAAGACAATAAATATTAAATTTAGTATATATAATTATATAAGAAATATATATTAAGAGTTTAAAATTATTATTAATAAATATTAATTTTTTGAATGTTATTTTCTCGAATTATTAATTGATATAAGTGAAATTAATTATTTACAATATTAAGTAAAATTATTAAATTATTATTAAATTCAATATTATGTTATAACTATTTTTCTACTTTTTAGATTTTTTTAAATTTGTTACTTAATTTCTTTATTTTAACTATTTAAAATCTAGTTATGTTAAATATTTTATTATTTAAAATATTTTGTTATTTAAATGCTTAAATAATATGTAAAATATTTAAATTTTAAAATATTGATTATTTATTGAATTTAATCATCCATAAAATCATAATTTATACTATTATTACATAACTTCATTATTAATTTTGTAATATATTAAATTATTATTAATTTCAATATTATGTTATAATTATTTTTCTACTTTGAAGAAATTTTTTAAATTTATTACATAATTTCGTTATTTTAACTATTTAAAATCTAGTTATGATAAATATTAAGTTATTTAAATTGATAATCTGGAAAAATATAATTTAAATTGTTAGTACATAATTTCGTGATATATTTTGTAAAAATATATTTTTTTTGTGTTTTTAATAAATATTTTAGAGTTATTGTATAATTTTGTTAGAATATTTAAATTATTCTTAAATTTTTTAATCCAAACTTTCTTTAGATAGATATAGATAAAAAGTAGGGGAGAGGATAAATTGGAATTAGAGATAATTTAGGAGAGAAACTCTTTGGTAAATTATAGATAATTTTGGAGATAAATAGGAATTATAGATAATTTAGGAGAGAAACTCCCTACTAAATTAGAGATAATTTTGGTGATAAATAGGGATTAGAGATAATTTAGAGGATAAATAAGAATTAGAGATAATTTTGGAGAAAGTGGGGGATAATGGGGGAGGTTGTTTAGGAGAAATTTTAGGAGAAGAGATTATTTAGGTTATTGGGAAAGTGCATCTCATTGGTTGTTTCAAAAATGACATGAAATAAAAAAAAAGTAATAATTCAAAAAAAAGGAGAAATTT